CTTTCATCGATTCTTCACAAAGAATAAACTATCACTTCAAGTTCTGACCTGATTACCAAAAGACACATACAGTTCGGGTTTATTAACAATCAATATTGTATTTATTTTCAGTAAATACAATATTGTATTTATTTTCAGTAAATACAATATTGTATTTATTTTCAGTAAATACAATATTGTATTTATTTTCAGTAAATACAATATTGTATTTATTTTCAGTAAATACAATATTGTATTTATTTTCAGTAAGTACAACAGGGATATGACATTGAAAACACAATTTTTTCCCTATTATTCAAGAGAAGAGCTTAGGGAGACATTTTAAGAAATACAGTCTAGGAAAACTTAAAGTCCTTATTACCTTTTTGCATTTTAATATACAAGGAAAGCTCTAAAAGAAATGCCTCCAATTCATTTCCCTGGAAACTGCAACAGATACATGGAGTGCAATAACACCACTGGATAAAACAAGATTTTGGTTTAAAAAAAAACCACTATTTTCAACTCTTTCACAAGAGCAATGATACTGTCAGAAAAAATTTTTGTATAGTACAACTTTCATCTTACCAAATGAGGATTATCAAATACATCACAGTCACCAATGTTGCAATGCATTATCTGCAGACTAACCGTGCTCACATCCACTATTTGGTATCTGTAAACATTCAGAAAGTGTAAATGAATGTCAGCTAGTGCTATTTTTCTCTATGAACAAATTCAATGCTTTTTATGCACTCTCATGTCAGATGCCAATTTGCTAGACTACTCCTGTAACAAGGCAAGTTGTTGATTATTGGTGGGAAACTTTGTCATACCATGAATATCTACTTCTGACTTTATGAAGTAATAAAAAAAACCCCAAAACACAGGCACTGCTTTTGGAGATACTCACATAAAAATCTGAGGTGTTCGGAATAGTTTCCAACTAGCCATTTGCCATTTTTATCAATGTTTATAAAAATTAGTGTTGTATAGTACAAAACTAGATGAGGAGGAAAAAAGGAAGGTTATATTGCATCATTCTTTCAAAAGGGAAACCAAAATTGCTTTGAAAATCAGCATTTAAATATATTTGCTTTTGTAGATTATCATTGCAACTATATCTTAATTTAATCATTTTTATTGAAAATCTTTCTTAGAGGATTATTACATGGAAAATGTTTCTCAATCAAAGCAAGAAACTTTTGCCCCATCTTAGTGCTAATTGGTTAAATGGGGGAGGGAGAGGTACCAAATGATTTTTCTATTTCTATATTTTTCCAGCTATCATTTTTACCTTTTCTGTATTTAATATCGGGGAATTTATATCCAATATTTTTTTTAATAGCATTATTATAAAAATTACTTTGTTTATAAAATATATCTTTGTTGGCAGAGTTAATATTGATTCTATATTCTATGGATGGGGGTACATGTTTTATTACAGATGGGGGGGGTGATTATACTTTGGGTGGGTATATAATGGATTAGTAGTAGTGTTTTTTTAATTTTGTATTGAGAGTAACTTTTAGGTTTAGGTTTTTTCTCCACTTTGTCATTCGCTTGTCATACATACATATATGTGAAAATATATAGAAAATAGGAAGGAACTGGTTAGGTAAATAATCCAAAGTTCCTTAGTATTTTAGTTATTATTTTTAAAAAAATAGTGCTCGATACAAAAGTAGAGCATAAACATAATTATTTATTTTAAAAATATGATTCAATCATGACATAAGAAGTCTCATGAGACCTCTTATGTCGCATGAGTTGGAATCATATTTTTAAATAAATAATTATATACATATATATATATATATAATGAAATGGACTAATAAATAATTATATATATATATATATATATATATATATATATATATATATATATAATGAAATGGACTAAGTCTGGGAATTATTTTGATATATTTTCTGTTTATACTATACAGAGTAAATTTCATTATGGTGCTCTTTTTCTCACAGACAGTGTCTTACTATACTGTACAGTTGACAAAATTAAAACAAGGAATGTGCATGTGCAAAATTTGAAATATAAAATGGCAACATCCTGCATCCTGGATAGATAGATAGATAGATAGATATGAACAGGCTGGGGAAGACAGATATGAGCAAAATGCGGGTAAATATTTAGATATGAGTAGGCTGAAATAGATAAGTAGATAGATAGAGATAGATATGAACAGGCTGGAGAAGACAGATATGAGCAAAATGCAGGTAAATATTTAGATATGAGTAGGCTGAAATAGATAGATAGATAGATAGATAGATAGATAGATAGATAGATAGATAGATAGATAGATAGATAGATAGATATGAACAGCTGGGGAAGACAGATATGAGCAAAATGCGGGTAAATATTTAGATATGAGTAGGCTGAAATAGATAAGTAGATACATAAAGGAGGCTGATAGATAGATAGATAGATAGATAGATAGATAGATATGAACAGCTGGGGAAGACAGATATGAGAAAAATGCGGGTAAATATTTAGACATGAGTAGGCTGAAATAAATAAGTAGATACATAAAGGAGGATGATAGATAGATAGATAGATAGATAGATAGATAGATAGATAGATAGATAGATAGATATATGAACAGCTGGGGAAGACAGATATGAGCAAAATGCGGTAAATATTTAGATATGAGTAGGCTGAAATAGATAAGTAGATACATAAAGGAGGCTGATAGATAGATAGATAGATAGATAGATAGATAGATATGAACAGCTGGGAAGATAGATATGAGCAAATGCAGGTAAATATTTAGATATGAGTAGGCTGAAATAGATAAGTAGATACATACAAGGAGACTGACTGATAGATAGATAGATAGATAGATAGATAGATAGATAGATAGATAGATAGATAGATAGATAGATAGATAGATAGATGAACAGCTGGGGAAGACAGATATGAGGAAAATGCGGGTAAATATTTAGATATGAGTAGGCTGAAATAGATAAGTAGATACATAAATGAGGCTGATAGATAGATAGATAGATAGATATGAACAGCTGGGGAAGACAGATATGAGCAAAATGCAGGTAAATATTTAGATATGAGTAGGCTGAAATAGATAAGTAGATACATACAAGGAGACTGACTGATAGATAGATAGATAGATAGATAGATAGATAGATAGATATGAACAGCTGGGGAAGACAGATATGAGCAAAATGCGGGTAAATATTTAGACATGAGTAGGCTGAAATAGATAAGTAGATACATAAAGGAGGCTGATAGATAGATAGATAGATAGATAGATAGATAGATAGATAGATAGATAGATATGAACAGGCTGGGGAAGACAGATATGAGCAAAATGCGGGTAAATATTTAGATATGAGTAGGCTGAAATAGATAAGTAGATACATAAAGGAGGATGATAGATAGATAGATAGATAGATAGATAGATATGAACAGGCTGGGGAAGACAGATATGAGCAAAATGCGGGTAAATATTTAGATATGAGTAGGCTGAAATAGATAAGTAGATACATACAAGGAGGCTGATAGATAGATAGATAGATAGATAGATAGATAGATAGATAGAAGCTTGTTGGGACAGTGCAAGACTTGTTAAACATTCTGGCTGACATGCATATAAATACTTAGCTACAAAACAGAGTGACAGAGAAAAAGACAAAGGAAGACATTTCAAATCTGGTCATAATGGACAAAAATAAACAAGATCATACATACATAAATATATGCGTCTGAAAATATCTACAGAAATACGTAAAGTGTTTTGTCAACTTGGCTAAAACTCTTGCAATAACAATGTTACGAAAATGAATCTGCATCATCAACTTGTCAGAAAAGGTACTTAATCTGTCATTTTGGGTTAGGGCCTATCCCACCCCTAATTCCTGTCCCTCAGTAATTACCCATGATGACCTTAAAGACCAAAATCAACTTCACAATGATTTTTCAATCATCCTCACAATAGCCAGGTTCCAATAAGCACCTATCTTTTATTTTTATTAATGGCAGGAAATAAAGTATTAACATATTTCATATATATATATACATGTTATATATATATATATAACATGTAAATATATAAGGACAAAAACAACATCCATATCTTAGGGTGAGGTGAAAAACACTACACTCATTCATTTTCATGAATGTCAGTATAATAAAGGAAATATAAATTAATAATCATATATATATATATATATATATATATATATATATCAGAAAGACCATTTTAGCTGAATTTAACAAAACATGTTTGTAAGTATATATATATATATATATATATATATATATATATATAAAAAAAAAAAAATATCAATAAGAATACTGGATTACATATCTTACAGTTCTTTCGTTTTATTTAAATATACATATAAAATTATATATATATATATATACATATACATATATATATATATATATATCTCAATAAATATATATATATATATATATATATATATATATCAAGCACATAATGACAAAACAAACACCTACACATCAAACTTAGAAGATAAAAACACTTTTTATTCATTTCTATTCGTGTCAGTATGTTGAGATAAGTACAAATTTTATATATATATATATATATATATATATATACATATACACGCACACACCTGTATCAACATAGACAAACACATATAAAATGGCAAATGAAAGGCAAAAAGGAAGTGGGGACATCTTGACTCAAATCAATTTCCTTCTTATTGTTTATAATAAATATATATTCATGGTTTGGACAGAGCTTCACCCACCCCATATAATGGAGTTGTAGATGAAATAAAAAAGGAAATGACACTTAACAAGTTCAAGAAACAAAAATACAGTGAGATTAACCTTTCCACTGTTTGTGAAATATGTTCTTGATCCATGGGAAATATCAAGGGACAATCATTTTCAATCCTGTTGGACACATTGCAATTTCATGGCTGTTGAAAACTAAGTTTCCCCATTATCTAATCCCTCTGCTCTTCTCTCAGCCTCTTTCTGTATCTTCTCATTCTGTCCCTTATCCCTTCATATGCAGCTAAGACTATCAATTATCTCACGATTCAGCTCCCCTCTCACTCTTATCCCATATCTTCTCATTCTGTCACTTATCCCTTCATATGCAGTTAAGACTATCCATATTCTCACGATTCTGCTCCCCTCTCACTCTTTTCCCATATCTGCTCATTCTGTCCCTTATCCCTTCATATGTAGCTAAGACTATCCCTTATCTCACGATTCTCCTCCCCTCTCACTCTTTTTCCGTATCTTCTAATTCTGTCCCTTATCCCATCATATGCAGCTAAGACTATCAATTATCTCACGATTCTGCTCCCCCTCTCACTCTTTTTCCGTATCTTCTCATTCTGTCCCTTATCCCATCATATGTAGCTAAGACTATCCCTTATCTCACGATTCTCCTCCCCTCTCACTCTTTTCTCGTATCTTCTCATTCTGTCCCTTATCCCATCATATGCAGCTAAGACTATCAATCTATCTCACGATTCAGCTCCCCATCTTCATTCTCCCTTTTTCCGCTAAGACTATCTTCTCATTCTGTCCCTTATCCCATCATATGCAGCTAAGACTATCAATTATCTCACGATTCAGCCCCTCTCACTCTTTTTCCATATCTTCTCATTCTGTCCCTTATCCCATCATATGCAGCTAAGACTATCAATTATCTCACGATTCATTCTCCCCTCTCACTCTTTTTCATATCTTCTCATTCTGTCCCTTATCCCATCATATGCAGCTAAGACTATCAATTATCTCACGATTCAGCTCCCTCTCACACTTTTTCCATATCTTCTCATTCTGTCCCTTATCCCATCATATGCAGCTAAGACTATCAATTATCTCACGATTCAGCTCCCCTCTCACTCTTTTTTCCATATCTTCTCATTCTGTCCCTTATCCCATCATATGTAGCTAAGACTATCCCTTATCTCACGATTCTGCCCCCCATCATATGCAGCTCTCACTCTTTTCTCGTATCTTCTCATTCTGTCCCTTATCCCATCATATGCAGCTAAGACTATCAATTATCTCACCCCTTCAGCTCCCCTCTCACTCTTTTTCCATATCTTCTCATTCTGTCCCTTATCCCATCATATGCAGCTAAGACTATCAATTATCTCACGATTCAGCTCCCCTCTCACTCTTTTTCCATATCTTCTCATTCTGTCCCTTATCCCATCATATGCAGCTAAGACTATCAATTATCTCACGATTCAGCTCCCCTCTCACTCTTTTTCCATATCTTCTCATTCTGTCCCTTATCCCATCATATGTAGCTAAGACTATCCCTTATCTCACGATTCTCCTTCCCTCTCACTCTTTTCTCGTATCTTCTCATTCTGTCCCTTATCCCATCATATGCAGCTAAGACTATCAATTATCTCACGATTCAGCTCCCCTCTCACTCTTTTTCCATATCTTCTCATTCTGTCCCTTACCCCATCATATGCAGCTAAGACTATCAATTATCTCTCGATTCAGCTCCCCTCTCACTCTTTTTCCATATCTTCTTATTCTGTCCCTTATCCCATCATATGCAGCTAAGACTATCAATTATCTCACGATTCTCCTCCCCCTCTCACTCTTTTTCCATATCTTCTCATTCTGTCCCTTATCCCATCATATGTAGCTAAGACTATCAATTATCTCACGATTCTCCTCCCCCGTATCACTCTTTTTCTCATATGTATCTTCTCATTCTGTCCCTTTATCCCATCATATGCAGCTAAGACTATCAATTATCTATCTCTCCCTCTCACCATATCTTCTCATTCTGTCCTTATCCCATCATATGCAGCTAAGACCCAATTATCTCACTTCAGCTTTTTCCATATCTTCTCATTCTGTCCCTTATCCCATCATATGCAGCTAAGACTATCAATTATCTCACGATTCTTCTGTCCCTCTCATCTTTTTCCATATCTTCCCCCTTATCCCATCATATGTAGCTATTTTCTTTCTCCTTCCATATTTTCTTCTTCTCATTCTGTCCCTTATCCCATCATATGCAGCTAAGACTATCCATTATCTCACGATTCTGCTCCCCTCTCACTCTTTTTCCATATCTTCTCATTCTGTCCCTTATCCCATCATATGTATTAAGAGCTATCTCTCGATTCAGCCCCCCAGACTATTTCCCTCATTATCCCTTATCCCATCATATGCAGATTCAATTATCTCTTCCTCCCCTCACTCTTTTCCCAGATCTTCTCATTCTGTCCCTTATCCCATCATATGCAGCTAAGACTATCAATTATCTCACGATTCAGCTCCCCTCTCACTCTTTTTCCATATCTTCTCATTCTGTCCCTTATCCCATCATATGCAGCTAAGACTATCAATTATCTCACGATTCAGCTCCCCTCTCACTCTTTTTCCATATCTTCTCATTCTGTCCCTTATCCCATCATATGCAGCTAAGACTATCAATTATCTCACGATTCAGCTCCCCTCTCACTCTTTTTCCATATCTTCTCATTCTGTCCCTTATCCCATCATATGCAGCTAAGACTATCAATTATCTCAATCAGCTCCCCTCCACTCTTTTTCCATATCTTCTCATTCTGTCCCTTATCCCATCATATGTAGCTAAGACTATCCCTTATCTTTTTTCCCCCCTCATCTTTTCTCATTCTCATTCTGTCCCTTATCCCATCATATGCAGCTAAGACTATCAATTATCTCACCCCTCTCATTCTTTTTCCATACTTCTTTTTCCATATCTTCTCATTCTGTCACGATTCAGCTCCCCTCTCACTCTTTTTTCCATATCTTCATTCTGTCCCTTATCCCATCATATGCAGCTAAGACTATCAATTATCTCACTCTTTCCATATCTTCTCATTCTGTCCCTTATTCATATGCTCCCCTCTCACTCTTTTTTCATATCTTCTCATTCTGTCCCTTATCCCATCATATGCAGCTAAACTATCAATTATCTCACGATTCAGCTCCCCCTCTCACTCTTTTTCCATATCTTCTCATTCTGTCCCTTATCCCATCATATGTAGCTAAGACTATCAATTATCCCTTCATCTCTCATTCTTTTTCCATATCTCTCATTCTGTCCCTTATCCCATCATATGCAGCTTTTCTCTCTGATTCTGCTCCCCTCTTCTTTTCATTCTGTTCCCTTATCCCATCATATGCAGCTAAGACTATTCAATATATCCCATCATATGCAGCTAAGACTATCAATTATCTCTCCCTCTCACTCTTTTTCCATATCTTCTCATTCTGTCCCTTATCCCATCATATGCAGCTAAGACTATCAATTATCTCTCGATTCAGCTCCCCATCTCACTCTTTTCCATATCTTCTTATTCTGTCCCTTATCCCATCATATGCAGCTAAGACTATCAATTATCTCTCTCCTCCCTCTCACTTCTCATTCTGTCCTTATCCCATCATATGCAGCTAAGACTATCAATTATCTCACGATTCTGCTCCCCTTTTTTTCCATATCTTCTCATTCTGTCCCTTATCCCATCATATGTAGCTAAGACTATCAATTATCTCACGATTCTCCCCCTCCCTTTTTCCATATCTTCTCATTCTGTTTATCCATATATTCTAAGACTATCAATTATCTCACGTCCCTTATCCCATCTTCTCATTCTGTCCCTTATCCCATCAGCTAAGACTATCAATTATCTCACGATTCAGCTCCCTCTCATTCTTTTTCCATATCTTCTCATTCTGTCCCTTATCCCATCATATGCAGCTAAGACTATCCATTATCTCACGATTCTGCTCCCCCTCTCACTCTTTTTCCATATCTTCTCATTCTGTCCCTTATCCCATCATATGTAGCTAAGACTATCCCTTTATCTCACGATTCTCCTTCCCCCCTCTCACTCTTTTCCATATCTTCTCATTCTGTCCCTTATCCCATCATATGCAGCTAAGACTATCAATTATCTATTCTGCTCCCCTCTCACTCTTTTTCCATATCTTCTCATTCTGTCCCTATCCCATCATATGCAGCCTATCCTATCTCATTTCCTCCTCTTTTCTCGTACCTCTCACTCCCCTTTTTTTTCCATATCTTCTCATTCTGTCCCTTATCCCATCATATGTAGCTAAGACTATCCCTTATCTCACGATTCACCTCCCTCTCACTCTTTTCTTCCATATCTTCTCATTCTGTCCCTTATCCCATCATATGCAGCTAAGACTATCAATTATCTCACGATTCAGCTCCCCTCTCACTATCTTTTTCTGTCCATATCGTCTCATTCTGTCCCTTATCCCATCATATGCAGCTAAGACTATCAATTATCTCACGATTCTCTCACTCTTTTTCCATATCTTCTCATTCTGTCCCTTTATCCCATCATATGCAGCTAAGACTTTTATCCATATCTTCTCATTCTTCTGTCCCTTATCCCATCATATGCAGCTAAGACTATCAATTATCTCACGATTCTGCTCCCCATATCTCTCATTCTGTCCCTTTCCCATCCAGCTATATCTTCTCATTCTGTCCCCCTCTATCCCATCATATTCTGTCCCTAGCCCATCAAGACTATCAATTATCTCACGATTCAGCTCCCCTCTCACTCTTTTTTCCATATCTTCTCATTCTGTCCCTTATCCCATCATATGCAGCTAAGACTATCAATTATCTCACGATTCTGCCCTCCCCCTCAGCAAGACTTTTTTCCATATCTTCTCATTCTGTCCCTTATCCCATCATATGTAGCTAAGACTATCCCTTATCTCACGATTCTCCTTCCTCTCACTCTTTTCTCGTATCTTCTCATTCTGTCCCTTATCCCATCATATGCAGCTAAGACTATCAATTATCTCACGATTCTGCTCCCCCTCTCACTCTTTTTCCAGATCTTCTCATTCTGTCCCTTTATCCCATCATATGTAGCTAAGACTATCCCTTTATCTCACGATTCACCTCCCTCTCACTCTTTTCTCATATCTTCTCATTCTGTCCCTTATCCCATCATATGCAGCTAAGACTATCAATTATCTCACCATTCAGCTCCCTCTCACTCTTTTTTCCATATCTTCTCATTCTGTCCCTTATCCCATCATATGCAGCTAAGACTATCAATTATCTCACGATTCTGCTCCTCTCTCTCTTTTTTCCATATCTTCTCATTCTGTCCCTTATCCCATCATATATACAGCTAAGACTATCAATTATCTCACGATTCAGCTCCCTCTCACTCTTTTTCCATATCTTCTCATTCTGTCCCTTATCCCATCATATGTAGCTAAGACTATCCCTTATCTCACGATTCTCCTTCCCTCTCACTCTTTTTCCATATCTTCTCATTCTGTCCCTTATCCCATCATATGCAGCTAAGACTATCAATTATCTCTCGATTCAGCTCCCCTCTCACTATTTTCCATATCTTCTCATTCTGTCCCTTATCCCATCATATGCAGCTAAGACTATCAATTATCTCACGATTCTGCTCCCCCTCTCACTCTTTTTCCATATCTTCTCATTCTGTCCCTTTATCCCATCATATGTAGCTAAGACTATCAATTATCTCTCATTCTGTCCCTTATCCCATTCTCCTCCCTCTCACTCTTTTCTCGTATCTTCTCATTCTGTCCCTTATCCCATCATATGCAGCTAAGACTATCAATTATCTCACGATTCTGCTCCCCCTCTCACTCTTTTTCCATATCTTCTCATTCTGTCCCTTATCCCATCATATGCAGCTAAGACTATCAATTATCTCAATGTATTCTGCTCCCCTCTCACTTTTTTCCATATCTTCTCATTCTGTCCCTTATCCCATCATATGTAGCTAAGACTATCAATTATCTCACCCATCCCATTCTGCTCCCCCTCTCACTCTTTTTCCATATCTTCTCATTCTGTCCCTTTATCCCATCATATACAGCTAAGACTATCAATTATCTCATCATTCAGCTCCCCTCTCATTCTTTTTTCCATATCTTCTCATTCTGTCCCTTATCCCATCATATGCAGCTAAGACTATCCATTATCTCACGATTCTGCTCCCCCTCTCACTTTTTCCATATCTTCTCATTCTGTCCCTTATCCCATCATATGTAGCTAAGACTATCCCACGATTATCTCACGATTCTCCTTTCCCTCTCACTCTTTCTCGTATCTTCTCATTCTGTCCCTTTCTGTCCCATCATATGCAGCTAAGACTATCAATTATCTCACGATTCTGCTCCCCCTCTCACTCTTTTTCCATATCTTCTCATTCTGTCCCTTTATCCCATCATATGTAGCTGCTAAGACTATCCCTTTATCTCACGATTCACCTCCCCTCTCCCTCTTTTTTCCATATCTTCTCATTCTGTCCCTTATCCCATCATATGCAGCTAAGACTCCCTTCAATTATCTCACGTCCCTTATTCAGCTCCCCACGATCTCACTCTTTTTTTTCATATCTTCTCATTCTGTCCCTTATCCCATCATATGCAGCTAAGACTATCAATTATCTCACGATTCTGCTCCCCCTCTCTCTCTTTTTCCATATCTTCTCATTCTGTCCCTTATCCCATCATATGTAGCATTCAGACTATCAATTATCTCATTCTGTCCCTTTATCCCATCTGCTCCCCTCTCACTCTTTTTCCATATCTTCATTCTGTCCCTTATCCCATCATATGCAGCTAAGACTATCAATTATCTCACGATTCTGCTCCCCTCTCACTCTTTTTCCATATCTTCTCATTCTGTCCCTTATCCCATCATATGTAGCTAAGACTATCCCTTATCTCACGATTCTCCTTCCCTCTCACTGTCTTTCATTCTGTCCCTTTATCCCATCTCATTCTGTCCCTTATCCCATCATATGCAGCTATTCTGTCCCTTATCCCATCATATGCAGCTAAGACTATCAATTATCTCACGATTCTGCTCCCCTCTCACTCTTTTTCCATATCTTCTCATTCTGTCCCTTATCCCATCATATGTAGCTAAGACTATCCCTTATCTCACGATTCACCTCCCTCTCTGTCTCTTTTCTCCCTTATCTTCTCATTCTGTCCTTATCCCATCATATGCAGCTAAGACTATCAATTATCTCACGATTCAGCTCCCCTCTCACTCTTTTTCCATATCTTCTCATTCTGTCCCTTATCCCATCATATGCAGCTAAGACTATCAATTATCTCACGATTCTGCTCCCCCTCTCACTCTTTTTCCATATCTTCTCATTCTGTCCCTTATCCCATCATATACAGCTAAGACTATCAATTATCTCACGATTCAGCTCCCCTCTCACTCTTTTTCCATATCTTCTCATTCTGTCCCTTATCCCATCATATGCAGCTAAGACTATCCCTTATCTCACCATATCTTCATTCTCCTTCCCATCTCACTCTTTTCCATATCTTCTCATTCTGTCCCTTATCCCATCATATGCAGCTAAGACTATCAATTATCTCTCGATTCAGCTCCCCTCTCACTATTTTCCATATCTTCTCATTCTGTCCCTTATCCCATCATATGCAGCTAAGACTATCAATTATCTCACGATTCTGCTCCCCCTCTCACTCTTTTTCCATATCTTCTCATTCTGTCCCTTATCCCATCATATGTAGCTAAGACTATCAATTATCTCACGATTCTCCTCCCCTCTCACTCTTTTCTCGTATCTTCTCATTCTGTCCCTTATCCCATCATATGCAGCTAAGACTATCAATTATCTCACGATTCTGCTCCCCCTCTCACTCTTTTTCCATATCTTCTCATTCTGTCCCTTATCCCATCATATACAGCTAAGACTATCCATTATCTCACGATTCAGCTCCCCACTCTTTTTCCATATCTTCTCATTCTGTCCCTTATCCCATCATATGCAGCTAAGACTATCAATTATCTCACGATTCAGCTCCCCTCTCACTCTTTTTCCATATCTTCTCATTCTGTCCCTTATCCCATCATATGTAGCTAAGACTATCTCTTATCTCCCTTATCCCATTCTCCTCCCTCTCACTCTTTTCTCGTATCTTCTCATTCTGTCCCTTATCCCATCATATGCAGCTAAGACTATCAATTATCTCACGATTCAGCTCCCCTCTCACTCTTTTTCCATATCTTCTCATTCTGTCCTTTATCCCATCATATGCAGCTAAGACTATCAATTATCTCACGATTCAGCTCCCCTCTCACTCTTTTTCCATATCTTCTCATTCTGTCCCTTATCCCATCATATACAACTAAGACTATCAATTATCTCACAATTCTGCTCCCCTCTCTTTTCCTGTATCTTCTCATTCTGTCCCTTATCCCTTCATATATTACTAAGACTATCCATTATCTCATACTTCTTCTCTTCTCTCATCTTTTGTCTGTATCTTATTTTTTTTCCCTTATTCCACTTGCTGGGTCAATTTAAACATGGTACTTCTGGAAAACCATCTTCACTGCCCCAAATTGTTTCCATTTCCTCTAACAGATTTGATAGAGAATGCAATACCTCTAATTATCTCAGATTTGTTTTTTCTTTATCAAGTTTTGACATAGTATTCAAGCTCATGCAAATTTAGGATTTGAAATGCTGAGTTTCTAAGTAGGCCAGCTCTATTGAACTAGGAAGACTGATGTAACACAATCTTTCTATTCCCTTTCTCCTTCCATTTCTGTCAATCATTATTTGTCTTTTTCTTTTCTTCGCCTTTCATGTGCTGTGCTCCTTTAGGGTGTGGGTGATCATGGCTCTCCACTACTTCCAATCCTTTGTAGAGCAATCTCTATCTCCTTACTATCCCTCCCATACCCCACATCTTTCATCCATTTAGAAAAACTGATTATATAGGTTACTTGCTGTCCCCATCTACCTTGTTTGCCAATATCTTTTGAGAGTGTCAAATTCTCCAAACCTTCTTTCTTCAGTTTGCCTTCAGGTTATTTCTACTCTATCTTTCTGATTGTAAGTGTCCTTTTTATTTCCATTTCCCTTAAAATTTCCTCATTGCTCACATGCTACATCCATGGTATTCTCAGCATCTTTATCTAGAACCACATCTTACTTGCCTCAAGGTTCTTCGTCATCTGTGAGGAAATTGTCCATCATTCATGGCTATATGGTGCCTCAGTTTCAGTCATATTCCCGCTGCTGTAAGGTTGCCTCCCTGGGACTTTTCTATAAATACATTCATGGTAATCGTTCGGATATGAACTCTTTGTTATGTAACATAGACTTTATGAATTTAAGTGCAGTACAAGACTGACAATGTGGTCTCATCAATTTCCAGTTGAGTTGACTAGATGAAACTGTAAGTTCTATGTTAACAGTTTCTTTTCTCACACTTCTTACTTGTGGAACTCTTTTCTGGCTCCATGTTTTTCAGTCAACTTTAATCTTCAAAAAATTAATTGCAATGTTAATTGCTATCTACTGCCCTCCTGATTACACTTTTTTTCTAGCTCATTACTAATATTTCTGCTTTTTAATTCTTCCACACCCAGTAACCCCTTGTGTCTTAGTGGCTTTACTGCCATGCTTGGAGTGAACTCAATTAATATACATATATATATATAAGAAAAGAGACAAAAAAACATACACACATAGTCTTTACGATTGGAATTAAGATGCCTTTAGTTAATGACCATTTTCACCTATGAATTTTAATTTTAAAATTCGCAGGATTTTACAAACTGTTTATGGTATCAGTTTGTAGTGGGGTACAGTTTATTTGGAGAAAGAAAGAGAGTGAGGATGTTATAGGGGACTTATTGGGAGGTATGGAGAGAAGAAGGCACTGTTACAGGAATTATATTATGGAGGTATCTTATTTCCAGTTGTAAAGAAAATTTGCTCTGTTTAATCAAAGTAAACATAGAGCGCTCTTTTGTGAGTCAGTTTTAACCTATTTCAAATTCTATGTTGTGTTAATAGGACTCACCTGGATTATACCAATGGATTACTACATATATATATATATATATATATATATATAGATAGATAGATAGATAGATAGATAGATAGTAGGGTTGATATTACATATAAGTTCAGTAGTCTTTCTTTTGTTTGTTTCTAACAAAATGTTCATACTCTGTACATGGTATTCTCAGCATCCTCCTGTAGAATCACATTTCTGCTGTTTCAAGTCTTCTCTTCATCTGTGAGGAAACTCCAGCATTCACTGCTATATAGGAGGACTAATATTACTTAGCAGTTCGGCACTCTTTTGTTTATAGGTAATAATCGTCATCTTCCCAGTCTTTTGAACAGGAGTAAAGGGTTATCCCTTTTTCCCTGTTTAAGATTAGGTTTTCCAGTTCCTTTGAATGACTTCTCATTTTCTTTCACTCCCAATTAACACATTATGTCTTATTGGCATTATCGCATTGTTTGAGGCAAAATGATTAATAAAAGTAAAATCAAGTTGTAATAAAATAAGTCATATTTGAAAATTGACATTTATTTATTATACAATTAAATAAATTATACTTATTTTAATTTTATTAAAAATGTTATTGTTATACGTTTTAAATGAGAACATTTTTTCTCTGTAATTCTCTTTACCATGCAAAATTATAATTTTTTGTCCGTATCCAAAGAAAACATACTTTATAACTCCATTCTTTTTTTTTCGTTTTTCGTTTTTTTTTTTGTTTTGTTTTTTCTAAGACTTTTTTCTTCCGGTTACTGAATAAACATCTTTTTTTTTAATTTTTTTGTCTTTTTTTCTTTCAGATTTTAAAATTGGAAAGAATGAAATTAGCAAAAAGGTGGTGGGGGGAGAGAGAGAGCGAGAGAAAGATGATAAATAAATTTTGAAATATAATGTTTCTTTTTGGGGGGAGGGTGGACTTTCGTCTACACAATGCCAGGTTATAATTTTATTCGTTTTACACACAAATGAATGTATGTTTTCCAAGTTGCTAACGATTTTATTTCTTATTTTATTTTTTGGCATGTGTGTGTGTGTGTATGGACCATGTTTTGTTAACAACAATTCCAAAATCTAACAAACTTGCCTGATGTTTTAATAATAATAAAAAAAAAAAAAAAAAAAAAAAAACGGCAGCTGCTTCTTCCACCCCTCCATCATTCCCTTTGGTCTTTTATGTTTTTACATTCTATTTATTTCGGGCAGTGGGCATTACTTACGTATATTTCTTTTCTTCTCTCATTTGGATCTTTTTCCACCACCCTTTAGCCATTTTTACTTTTTCTTTTTTTCTTCTTCACTTTCCTGCTCTTTTTTTCTTTCTTTTATTCATTCATTCTCTCTCTCTCTCTCTCACACACACACACACACACACAAACCCCTAGTATACGGGAACAGCAAATATAACAGACTTAAAATTATAATTACTGAATTTTACATACCTTAGTTTGCTCGGCCCCTTATACCCCTGGCGCCAAGGTATAATTTAATTTTGAACATCTACTTATAAACAAGCATGGCGCCACAAAATTAAAAGGCGTGGGTGGGGACTAAATCAGATCTTAAGTTTTAAAGATCTTTGATTCTGCATTCTTTATCTGACCCCCGTCATAAAAATGAACATTTATTTTATTCGTTTATTTTTTTATGTATATATATTTTGAGATCTATACACTTTTAGTTTTATTCTACTTATTTTCTGAAATGAGGCCTAAAATTAAAAAAAAAATCTTTCCACGTATGAGACTTATAAATTTTAGAAGCTAAAGTTTGTAAAAGAACCCCTCCCCCCAAAAAACGGACATACATTCACATACAGTGTAACCCGGATATAAGAGAGTTGTCGGGACCGGAGAAGTCTCTTATATCCGGGTTTGGTCTATTTTGTTTACATTAACACAGGCTCTAATTTGGGACCAGAGAAAATCTCTCTTATATCCGGGTTTCTCTTATACCCGGGTCTCTTATATCCGGGTTACACTATTTTCATTACTTCAAAATTTAAAGTTCAAACGTTATTTTTAGTGGATGCCCGTATTTAAGTAGACGCTCAGCTTTTTTTTTTTTTTTTTTTTTTTATTTCATCTCCGGTAGGTCTGCATACTCGAGAAAATTTAATAAAGAAAATGTGCTTTCTTCCTTATTAAGTTATCTCAAGTACAAAATAAATAGTTTAAAATACACAGGTATCCACTATAACATATAATATACAGGTATCCACTATAACATTTGAAGTAATGAAAATATGCCAGATTAAAAAAAAAAAAAGTTAACATATGTCAGAAAAAATAAAATCCATAAAATAAATTATTTAAAAAATTCACATAAATAAATATGATGCAAATTTCTAAAGAATTAATTAACTGATCGCTGCTTGATGTTGACTTCAGTGTCCACTTTTATATTTAGATATGCTCTCTATCACTGATATTGAGCACTTTTACTCATAAATATAGCATACCTTAATTAATAATAAATTGGGAGGAAGAGCAAAGATCAGAAAAAAGAAATTGTTTACCGCAAAGAGATGAAGCAAAAAATACAGGAAAAAATAGGTAACCTTTAAAAAACAAATTAAAAGTTTATAAATTAAGTTTTCTGATCTATTTTGAAAATTAATATCAATCACAAATTTACACAAATGATACAGCTCAGCTCAATAGCATTGTCATCAATAGACTAAGGCCAAACAAAATTGGTCTTCTGTTTCGTTCTCAGGTTCAGCAAAAAGTGGAGAGGGGAGCAATAGCCCTGAGGATGTATAATGTCTTTACTTATTATTGAAAAAAAAAAAAAAAATGAAGAAAGAATGAAAGCAGTTCCAACTATTGTTGTTTGCTTTCCTTAAAGCAGTAATTATTCATGAAGACGATCACTCCCTAAATGAAGGAAATATTTCTTTTTTTTTTTCCTTTCTTTCCGTCTTTTTCAGAAGGTAAAATTATGGATTGTATTATTCTGGTTTATAAAGGTTGCTGGATTTATTTTGGAATGGACAACCCAACCTCACTCCTTTGTTAGGATCATTGGAGGACATTTTGTTATAAAGAAAATTTAAAAAAACGAAATGCATTCATGTCATGACTGACAAAGAGTATAGTAGCCAGCGTGGCCTTTACCTTAAATTACAAACACAAAGATTCTTGTGTGACAAAACTGCTTAATTTCAGATTTAACTGACTGTATAGGTAGTACCAAAAAAATAAATAAATAAAATCAAGACATTAAGAGCCTAGCAGCTGATCTCTTTTCAGTTCAAGCTCAAACGGCTCAATGAGGAAAAATTGGCTTGTAATTTTTCAATACCTCAGAAACCAAGCTAGTATTGTTTCATAAGATCTTTCTCCAATGATGATGCTTTAAATGTCTACTGGGATTAAAGTTCATTCCAAACCAAAAATGAAACTCATCTATATGATGCATTACTAAAGATGCTGGAAAAATGGTCAGCCCATTGTATCGCTCCATTAAGTACCTGACTTCTTCTGCGATGATCTAT